ACTCATCTCAAATAATGGTAGCCTCGTCGTCGTCCATCTCAACATCGTCTTCATCCTCCGATGCATCTGCTTCTCCCTCCAATCGCCGCCAACACCGCCGTCGCCGCCACAAACGAGAAAGAAAACGTGACAGAGACGGAGACTCCCTGAAAGTGCGAAAAAAGAGTCGGTCCCACACAAAAAGACGTAGTAGACGTCATTCCTCCGTTGACAGCCACTCTTCTTCTCATTCATCGTCTTCCGAAGATTACAGGTATCATGTCTAGGCTGCCCTTTAACTTGTGTGCGCTTTTATATCAGATCTCTTCGTTTTTATTGTTTTAGATCTTGATTAAAATATTACTTTTTATGTTTTATGTATGGCACCAACCTGTTTGACGGATTTGATTGTATCATATATAACGTTGTGGGATTACATCTCATTTTAGTTTTGGGAATTAGGGTTATTTATGGACAATTTTTATTTTTGCTGGTGTTATATTTAGTTAGGCATATGATGTGGCGATAGAGCATGATTGGAACATTTTGAAAAACAAAGGTTGTGAATTTATGAGCCTAGATGGCTTCTAAATAATTATTTGAGATGAATTTAGAGAATTCAATATGCATAACAAGTAGCAGCAATGGTCTTCGGGTAATGTCATAAATTGACACAAGAATGATGTTTGTGAGGTGGAAAGTTCAGGCTTATATTCATGTCTGTGTTGTGCTATTGTCATATATAGTTAAATTCATGCATTTTTTTTTTTTTTTTCATTTTTGTTTCATTAGTAACGAGGTTAAAGGTCTTTTGACCATGCTAACCTACATGATTGTTCGTATATCTTTTCTTTTAACATTTTGCGCCACAATCATAATCATACTTTGTTTACGTGCACATTTTTCTTGGTTTATTTGCTAACCTTTTGCTTATAAGAATTTTATTTTTGATATCCATTTAAGGTTTAATGATATTTATTGCTTTTTGTCAATTACAAAGATTTTAAATCCTATGCTATTCTAATTGTTTAAGACTACAAGCACAGAGATGCCATTTTTGTTGAAGACTTGCAGTGTCCATGTCCAAGACAGTTTGAACACTTACTTCGCATACGACATTTCAATATGGGTTGGATATACCAACTTGACATGCCCTTATCTCTAATGACATAGACAAGATAGTGGATGATGGAAGTTGGAGACTAGAAATTTTGGATATGAGAAATGGAGAGATATTGAACTCAAGTCCCCGGGGGGGGGGGGGGGGGGGGGGAGGTGAGTACTGCTCTGTGCTAGTAAGAGTTGTGGGGAAGAATGAAGATTGAATATGAGTTAAGGTTGAAGCTTTTGAATTATTGAGCATGAATTAAGTAACTACAATGCACAAGAATCAAAAATAAAGAAAAGTTTAGTATTGTTATAATCATAATATTGTTTGTTAAATTTGTATTTTGCAATTAAAATTTGGGATAATGTGTGCATTTTCGTTTGGAATATTATGTTTTTGTTTTCATTGACTGTCTTTTCATAAATTGTTTTATATCAATTTGACGGATGGACCTATAAAAATTAATTTATTTTCGTGGTTATTAACCGAACCGAATCGAGCCGAACCGAGATACGAACTGAACCGAACCGAACCCATTTACGTGATTATTGTGCGGTTATAGTATGGCAAAAAATTTAATTGTTCGGTGATGATTTTGACCAAATTGAAATCGAACCGTTGCCATCCCTAGTTTAATCCTATATGACTTGACTCATTTTTGTAGTTGTAAAGAAATTAACAAAATAAATTAAAACCCTCATATTATGCATACATTTTTTCTTAAAAGTCCAAAAAATAAAAGGAAATTAATGCAAATGGTATTTAAAAATTATGTAATCAGATATTGATAATCTTCATTTAGTCTATTTGCTTTATCTTGACTCTGGACCTCTGCATCTTCTCAGTTCTTCAAATGCATTAAGCTCTGTATGCAAGATTCAATATATGTAATGTATTTCCTCAAAGTTCAAAGACTATAGATGGCTTTGAACCAATTCCACATCGTAGATATGAACCCAAATTGGGCTTTTTAAATTGACTAGTTAAAGTTGAACGTGCAATCTAAAATACTTTATAAGTGATGCAAAAATAATATTTGATACCAATTTGTTGGAAGATTTGATGAGTCGTAGACCAATTAAAGAAAATAAAATTTAGCATAGAAATTTAAGAGAAATTTTTTTTTACTCAAATTATACTTTCAAAACGCAATTTCTATGATTTAAATTTTTTGTAATGATGCAATACTATAAATGAGCAATCTTTTTATGTTATATTTGACACATAAAAATTAATTGTTAATACATAAATTTAAAAACTCATTAAAATTTTCAGATATATGAATATGAATAAATTCACTATAATAATTTTAGATTCATATAATTCAAGATTCATCAAGTAAAATTTTATTAAATCTAGATTAATGTGAATGTTAATTAATTGAGATTTAATAGCACAAAATTCATAAATGATAATAATTTTCTAGTATTATTGCATATCAAAAACCGAAAAGTATGACATTATTGAAATAATTGAATTTCGGAGGGTTAAAATTGTCCAGAAAATTATTCTCCCTTGTTGTGATATTTTAATATATTATAAATTATTGGCTTGAACAAATTAACTGTATTCCCTGGCTCCCAAATTTTTTTAAAACTATCGATCTTTATAGTTCCTAGGCATCAACTCTTTCAAACTAGCTCTTCCAATTTCATGGCTTACATAACCTACGTCATGACGTCGAAAGCGAGAATTCGAAAGAGAAGACTTTAGGAAGTAAAAAAGAACAACAATTTCAGAATTTTTTGAGAGGCCAAGAATGTAATCAACTTGTTCAAGCCAATAATCAACCTATAAAAAATTTAGCACCCAAATCAGTTTCTATTTCTTTTGCTGGTATCATATTTGAACTTCTGAGCAAAAAATTCGAATTAAAACAAAAATATTCCGAAAATTATCAACAATATACAATTTTATTTTCCTTCAGTCAAAAAAGGGTATCCATTCCAAATTAAAGAACCATTTTCTTGGATTTATATTAGTTTCCATCCAATGTATCAAATTCAAAAACCACTTTCTTTCCTTCGCTTTTTTTCTTTCTTTCCTTGAGTCTTCTAAGTTTCAATACCTTACTCATATCTTAGTTTGAATTCTTCAAGATTAAAACTTGGCGGAGATTGAATTACTTCTTTGAAGCAGTTGAATGAAAGCGTTGAGTGGAAAAAAGCAAGACTGATGAAACTAATAGAGGGAAAAGAGCTAAATTCGAGTGATATACGAGCGTATACATGTGAGGCAAATATTACTTTAGATTTAAAATATCTGACAAAGACGATAAAATGATCCGTGAGATTGAGAAAAATAAATTATGATCGGCTTGGTCCATGACTAGTTTCAAAATGAGTTCGAGTCATTCATTAGTCATTAGTCAAGCTGAGCGAAGCACACAAGCCTATGAACAACTCAACCCGTTTATCATCCGTACATCCACCAAGCGACAGATTATGAACATTAAATTTTGATTAGTAGTAAGCTGTGTCTTCGCATTTTTTGAGGACATTCCCGCCTTCATAATGACAAAACAAAACGATAAAATAGTTTTATATGGTATTGATTTTCCTTTAAATATCGTGGAAAACTATTAATTTTTAATGGTAAAAATGAGTAATGTTAACCATGTATTAGTCTGCATTCTATTAAAGATTTCGATTTTGAACTTTGAGCCCTAGACAAACTCTTATATTAAAGTCAGTATACACATAGTTTTGAGTAGGATTGACAAAAATTCGGTTTGGATTGTTTTCTACCTATTCTCAAACTACACCAAACCATTTCACTTTTGAAACTAAACCACTTTTTACGGTTTCGTTTCTAACTAGAATTTATCTAACGGCATAAAAATAACACATTTCAAACAAACTAAAATATAAATAGTCATCTAAATCTCAATACAATATATGAAATGAAGCTTCAAAGATTATACGAAGTTTAAACTTAACAACTAACAAAATTTACATTGAAAAAAATTCATAATTGACATAGTGTAACTATAATAAAATACTTGTTTGGTACATATTTTAAGTCAATTAAAATCAATTTTTGACCATTATTTCATTATTCCAAACGTCTTTTTGAATTCTTCTCTCATTCGTAAAACCCCCTTTATCTCTAATGATGAAAAAATTAATTATCAAAATCCCTGTCAAACAAGCATTAACCTCATGATTATTAGATTTGAAAAATACCTCGTGAAAACCGATTTTTAGCCCTTGTTTGAGTCTCATTATTTCAACAAGAATGCATTTTTTATTAGGGTACGTTTGATTGCAAAAATGGAATTGAATTGCCTAGAAAACGAATTTCAGGGAATTGAATTGCCTAGAATTATTTTTCTGAGAATTGTAAATTATTGTGTTTGATTAGTATAATTTTTCACGTGGAAAATGTTGAAATAAAAGTTTTTTTTAATATTCGCTTGGCTTTGTTTTACATGAAAATTGTCAATTAAAGGGAAATATTTTTTTACAATAATTCTTAGAATTGGTTTCCATTACCAACAAAAAAAAAGACGAAAAAAAAATAATAATCACTACAGTATATGGTGAGAATTCAAATTCAACTAAAATAAGGAAAATTCCAAATTCCAAGAAATCCAAGAAATGCAATTTCATGAAAAATATAAGGTATCAAACACCAAAAGTTGGAATTTTCAATTCCAATTCCATCTTTTTTTCCATTTCCATGCTATCAAACACTCCCTTAGTGTATTGATGGGAAATGTGTGGTTAAAAAATAAGAAAGAGTTTTAAATTTGAATGTGATATTATTTTATTAAAAAATATGTGATGAAAATGAAGTCAAATAATTATTTAAGAATTTTTTTTTTTTTTTTTTAAAAGAATGTGTATCGAACACTCTTAATATTTTAATGAATCATAAGGCACGACGTCGTATTAGTCGCCCCTTTACCTAAACAAAATATGGCTGTTTACTAGCGCAGCTTGCGGAAGTCTGCTGTAAACAATTGGTCCTCTCCAGTTAACTCATCTCAAATAATGGTAGCCTCGTCGTCGTCCATCTCAACATCGTCTTCATCCTCCGATGCATCTGCTTCTCCCTCCAATCGCCGCCAACACCGCCGTCGCCGCCACAAACGAGAAAGAAAACGTGACAGAGACGGAGACTCCCTGAAAGTGCGAAAAAAGAGTCGGTCCCACACAAAAAGACGTAGTAGACGTCATTCCTCCGTTGACAGCCACTCTTCTTCTCATTCATCGTCTTCCGAAGATTACAGGTATCATGTCTAGGCTGCCCTTTAACTTGTGTGCGCTTTTATATCAGATCTCTTCGTTTTTATTGTTTTAGATCTTGATTAAAATATTACTTTTTATGTTTTATGTATGGCACCAACCTGTTTGACGGATTTGATTGTATCATATATAACGTTGTGGGATTACATCTCATTTTAGTTTTGGGAATTAGGGTTATTTATGGACAATTTTTATTTTTGCTGGTGTTATATTTAGTTAGGCATATGATGTGGCGATAGAGCATGATTGGAACATTTTGAAAAACAAAGGTTGTGAATTTATGAGCCTAGATGGCTTCTAAATAATTATTTGAGATGAATTTAGAGAATTCAATATGCATAACAAGTAGCAGCAATGGTCTTCGGGTAATGTCATAAATTGACACAAGAATGATGTTTGTGAGGTGGAAAGTTCAGGCTTATATTCATGTCTGTGTTGTGCTATTGTCATATATAGTTAAATTCATGCATTTTTTTTTTTTTTTCATTTTTGTTTCATTAGTAACGAGGTTAAAGGTCTTTTGACCATGCTAACCTACATGATTGTTCGTATATCTTTTCTTTTAACATTTTGCGCCACAATCATAATCATACTTTGTTTACGTGCACATTTTTCTTGGTTTATTTGCTAACCTTTTGCTTATAAGAATTTTATTTTTGATATCCATTTAAGGTTTAATGATATTTATTGCTTTTTGTCAATTACAAAGATTTTAAATCCTATGCTATTCTAATTGTTTAAGACTACAAGCACAGAGATGCCATTTTTGTTGAAGACTTGCAGTGTCCATGTCCAAGACAGTTTGAACACTTACTTCGCATACGACATTTCAATATGGGTTGGATATACCAACTTGACATGCCCTTATCTCTAATGACATAGACAAGATAGTGGATGATGGAAGTTGGAGACTAGAAATTTTGGATATGAGAAATGGAGAGATATTGAACTCAAGTCCCCGGGGGGGGGGGGGGGGGGGGGGGGATGAAGAGAAATTGAAAATGGGATAAAGTATTGTTGCCAACAAGTTCGCTGATTATTCTAATGTAAGAGAAATTAAAAATGGGATTGGACTTTTAATGGGATAAAGTATTGTTGCCAACAAGTTCGCTCATTATTCTAATGTAAGAGAAATTGAAAATGGGATTGGACTTTTAATAGGATAAAGTATTGTTGCCAACAAGGTCGCTCATTATTCTAATGTAAGAGAAATTGAAAATGGGATTGGACTTTTAATGGGATAAAGTATTGTTGCCAACAAGTTCGCTCATTATTCTAATGTTTCTACACTTATTAGACCAGACAGTGGAAAATCAATTATCCACACATTTAAAAACCATCAAAAAGTGTCCACTTCTTCATTTTAACAGAACCATTAGCAACCAAAGTCATTTATTGCTCAGCAACATTTATTAATTTGACTTAAATATTGTTTAATTATATGGGATGTTTAGTGTTATTATGAAGATATGAGTATATCATGGCTAGCAGTAGAGCAAATGCGGATTTGTCAAGATGTCTTTGGATGTATGTATGTGACAAAATATGAAAAATTCTATGAATGGCAATAAGGTTTCTTCACAATGCAGTAAAGAGAAGTTAAAATGCTGGAGTATGGGTATGTTAACATTATCGAGTAACAAGTCCAAAAGATGCAACAAAAGATTAAAATATGTAGTGAAGTTAAATATGAAAAATGATGTACTAAAAAAAGTTGATGGGTTCGTTTTAAAATGATGTACTAAATTGTTCTATGTAGTCAGTGTGTTAGTCTACTTATGTTAATGGGCTCGTTTTAAATTGTTCTATTGTTAAACTGGACAGGAGTGTTACTTAGAATAATCATCTCACTGATTCTAGAATATTGATTCTGGAAATTCCAAGATCAGTATTTTTATAGAGCTGTTCCTGTGATGTGTATGTGGTGAATCATACCTATTGTGCACTTAAAACAGAATTGTGGAGGCTTAGAGCATAGTTTCAATGCAAGAATGGAGACTTCTTCCATGCATTAAGATGATTTGATTCTTATTCTATGCTAGGGGAAATGATTTATGAAGTTTAATCTGTTTATTTGTGTTTTATTCTGTACTGCCTGATTTGAGTAGATGAAGAATGAGACCAATTAGTTCCCGACTTTGCGGTACCCTGATTTGAACAATGAATTTCGGAATTAATTCCTTGTCACCGTGTCTATTTGTGGTTTCAGTTCTACTGACAGTGAACATGAAACATCTCATCATTCCAAGCGGCTCAAACAGAACAAACCCAGAAAGGTAGTTATTTTGAAATAGTTTCTTGACTTGTTGAATAATGTGCATTTGGTTTTTATTAACTACTGCCTGGTTGGATTTCAGACCAAAGAGAAAGAGAAAAAGAAAACTCATCTGCACAAACGTCACAAGCATAAAGATAAAGAGGTAAGCCACTATCTTTTTTGGGGAAGCATGAAAATTGATGAGATTGTGTTGAACTGATTTGTCATTAAGCAAGTAGAATAATCGGGGTGAACTTAAAAGGGGTTTTATGTTCATGATTTCATGTCATCCTGATTAGGTCATGTTATTCTTCACAAGAGGTTCTAATAGTACTTTCTGTCTGTTTATGAAATGGCTCTTCAAAATTTGGAGCTGGGGTCTGTGACATGATGATGGGGGAACTTGATTGTCTTTGCTTGGATGTTGTTTCTTGCCTTGGTTTTGTCCTGGCAATGTGAGACATATATAGAAGCGGCAGGAAGAAAATAGTGGTCCTGTACAGCTCTCCAAGGTTTCTTTTATGCTTGAAAATTTTCAAATCTCGCATGTCCAAGAGATAATCATAATGGGAAAAAAGTTATGGTTTTGCTAACGTGATTTATATTTACAGTTCTTGGGAAGGGACAAAGATGATGGTGTACGTCGTAGTGTTGTCTCGGGCAAAAAGGTGACAACTCTCAAATTTGCTTGATTATTTGACAGCTACTGTATTGCTGAAACCCTTTAATGCTAGTTATACAAGATTTTCTCTTTGGTTTTTTTGGTAGATTCAATTGAAGCTCGAGAAAACAAAGGAGGATAAGTTAGCTGAGAACAATCGAAATGAGTTGCTGAAATTCTTGAATGCTAGTTATGATTGACAAAGTTGGGATGAAAGTTGAAGGTTCTATGTCTTAAATCAAAACATTACATTTTCTTTTGCATGTGATGAGAAGTTTGTTTAAAATATTATATATTTTGTGATGTTCTTGATTATGTTAGTTTGAACCGGAATTTCACTAATTTATTTGATAGCATTGGGAAATAAAACGATTTTACTTGTGATTGAATTTTTGATAATAACTTTTGCCTGTTTACTTTTTTAATTGTTGAATGCTTTTCTTCTTTGATTTGTGTTGTGGTGTCATCAAAGACCAAAACAAGAATGTATTAGAGAAACCCAATGTTATGTAGCAATACTTGTGTTCAGAACCAGTCTTGGTGGCCTTGGGCCATTGCCACATTAGGAATGGTTGGAGAATTAGGAGCTTTTTTAATTATCTCCAGGGTCTACAAATTGTGGAGACCAAGATGTACATCACCATATAAGACTTGTACCCTTATATTCTTATAAAGCTCTTTATTTGCAAATGACTAATCCTTTAACTTCAATGAATAATGTGGCAATCGTTAGGCGCTGGTAATTCTACATAGCATTACTAAAATAGTAGATGAAGATATGAATTTTTTTTGTTGCACTGCATTCTTTTAATATTTTTCTTATTTAACTAAATTGGACATAAATAATATTATATATAATAACCGCTTAATTATCTTTTTGATTTTTATGAACACAAGAAGTCTTCCAACAGCTAGCTTCTTTTCTTCTCTCTTTCTCTGTCTTCATTTGTATTTTTGAATGATCTTACTTTCTCTTTCTTTTAATTATGTCATTCGTCTTTTGATATATAGCTTTGGTTAATGAGAATGGATGCGATTATGATGCTACAACCCCGTTTGGGTTCTCAAATATGATTACTACCCTCTCCGTCCCCATTTATATAGGCTGATTTTTTTTTTTTTTCTCGTCCCAATTATATAGGCCTATTTCTTTACTGAGAAAGTTTTATTTTGTTTGTTTACTATTATACTCTTATTTAATTTATTTAGTTATAACTAATTTTCCTATTTAATTTTGAAATTATATAAATATAAATAAGGGTAGATTAGAAAAGTTCTTGACAAAAACTGCTTTTTAAATAACATTAAATAAGGTTTTTTAATTCGTGTGAAAAACAAAATTAGCTTATATAAATGGACGGAAGTAATATTCCATTTAGGCTCTTACATGCAATTATGGAATAAGTGAAGCATTTTATTCCAACAAGAAATCAAGAATCAATCATTTTTCAAATATTAAATGTACATAAATGTTCGCGAAAAAAGAATAAAAATCTATATGCACTTTTTCTAAACATTCCTCCCACCAACAACCATATCGCAGGGGAGATCGAAGAGCACTCTCAATTTCATGAGTAATATTATCTAATATTAATCTTAGGTGATAACAGGCATTAAATTACACATTTAATTAAGCCCTTGTTTGAGCTTCATTTTTCAAGGGGAAAAAAATGTATTTTTCAACAGTGTTTTAACATCATTTCAACCATACATTTTTTAATAAAATAATATTATGCATAAATTTAAAACTTTTGCTGATTTTTAAGCCACACATTTTCTATCAATAAACTATTCAAAAATTCATTTTTTTCTGAGGCTCAAAAAAGGCTAAATATAAAGAATTATGGTGTATTTAATGAAACCTATATGTTAACACATTAATTCAATTTCATTTTTATGGGTTATTGACAACCTTTTGGTTGAATGATTTTTTCATTGAGTTTTTCTTACATTACATACAAGTATAAATATGATAGGTGTAATTACAATCTAAATATCACTACTATATAAAAAGGATAATGTTTTACTACTGCAGAAAAAATAGTAGATTCTTCCATTTTGTCTCACTGTAGCTTCTTCTTTTTTTATTGAGAGAAAGCAACGACGTCGTTTATCTTACGTGTTTGATATAGTGACTTTGTTGCTTTTCTTCAATTTACGCGGCGTGGAGGATTATGTCATAGAGCCACTTTACTCTTTCTCCATTTTTACACGCTACAGTCATGCTTCTCTATTTATATATATATATATTAAAAAATTCTAATTTTAAATTAAATTTAAAATTTTATAATTTTTTTTAAATTTAAAAATTAAATTAATTTTTTTTAAAAGTTGAAAAATTGTAAATTTTTTTTAAAAATTTTAATTATATTATTATTCTAATTATAATAATAATATATTATTATATATATTAATAATATAATTAATATTATATTATTATAATATTATTATTTCTGGAGGCTCAT